TTAAATCCATTTTAAATCACCTTAATTAATTTTTAGTTGTAAAAATTAAATGCAAGAGGCTCTTATACCGCTGTTGGGTTTCGCGGTGTCCGACATCGCGCGGAAACAAAACCCGATAACCGGATCGCATGCATAATAATTACAACATAAATAAAAGCATGCAAAATAAACATAAACACAAGAGAAGAGAGAGAAAGAATGCTCACCCTCGTAGCGTGCTTCGCTCAACCATTGAGCTCGGACTTGAAAGCTTCAAGTTCCGTAAATGTGAGAACCTCCAACGGTTCACACCCTCGCTACCGAATCGTAACCAGTCCCTACCCCAAAGCTTAGTCGGGGCTAGACCAAAAACAACTTAGAGTTTACGAACAAAGGTTTTCTCTCTTATGGAGATCTCTTAAAGTCCACCAACTCAAGTGCCTTTTCCCAATGCCAAATGATTGGTATTTATAGGGAATAGAGCTCAAGAATTCCCATCATTTTTCAATGTGGGATAGTTGGTAAAAAGACAAAATAGAATTTAATTTAATTCTAAAATTAAATTAAAGTGCCAAAGGTATCACCAAACAACAAGTGTCACATGGAGAGCAAGGGGTTAGGTGAGGACCACAAGGGAAGGACCACCTTCCCCTTGCTCCGTAAGCAAACCCACAAACGGCTCCTACATACTCTTGGCCAAACGCATCGCGCCAGCTGGCGTGGCCTGCTTAGGGCGCCAAGGCTGCCTCGCTGACGGATTGGCTCCTTGGCTGGGCCTGCTAGCTGGTTGCATGTGATGGTAGCCCACACCAGCATGCCTCGCATCATTGCGGGCTGCTAGGTGCTGCTGCGCGCTCCTACCGCAAGCCTAGCTTGCGTGCTGCTGCTGCTGGTTCCTCGCGTAATAGCGAGCATTTGCTGCTGACCTTGCTTACGATGGTGCGGGGCTGGTGCTGCTACCTCGCCTAGCAATGCGCGGCTGGCCTTGCTAGCCTAGCCTTGCTCCCAAGGCTTACTCGGCCAGCATGCTCGGCCATGCGGTGCATGCCGAGCTTACGGCCGAATCTTGCCTTGCGGCAAGGGCTTTGGCTAGCCATGCTAGCCTACGTAGCCCTCGATTGGCTAGGCCATTCGAGGCTAGGATTTTTCCGCGCGATGACTTGTCGTTTGGTTGATTTTTCCGTCTCGTCGATTCCTACATTCGACTCGACTTACGGCGCTCGGCTTTGACGCTCAAAGCTCGGAATCCGACGTCTTTGTTCGTAAAAACTCTATTGACTCATTTAATCCTTCGGATTAATTCGTCGCTTCGGTTCGGTTACATGATTAAGATAAAGTTGTAATATTAATTATTCATTAATATTACTGATAGGAAGCGGCCTCCAGCTAGGCATTCTGATCACTTGACCTCACTGAATAATTAGCTTTCTAATTAATTCCGAACCCTCTATCGAAATAATACACTTGTTCGAAGGACACCATTCCTTTCAGTAACGACCCCCCATTCCTTGTTTTTTGGGTGGTTTAGTAATAATATTAACCCAATCCGTAGATTTAGCTTTATGATCAAGCCTCTTCTTGACATTTTTTAATATGGGTTCTTCTCTTTGAAAATCCAGGAATTGAATCCTGAGAAATTGCTGAAAATTCCTCTTCTTTCCATGTTTTCTTTTTCTTGTTTTTGGGTTCGGATAATCTTGAGTTGCGAGAGGTAGATAAAGTAATTGCGCATCAAATAATTGTTTGGAATTTGGTTAATAAGCTAGTGGGGTAAATGGGTTTTTGTTGAGGATGTAAAGGAGTGAGAATGACAGAAGATATTGAGGAGAGAGAAGATGTCACCATTGTTGCACTTGTACAATGAGGAAATGGAAAAGGGTGGGGGTCGCTAGCATAGGAGGAGGGTAAGGATGCTGCCGGCTGAGAGTAGGGGGAGGCTGGGCACGACCATGGGGGGAGGGATGGGCTACTGGTGGCTAGGTGGGAGGGGGTTGGGTTATATATATATATATATATATATATATATATATATATATATATATATATATATATATATATATATATATATATATATATATATATATAATATGAACCTAGTCTATAATATGAACGAGGAACTCATTATAGTTGCCAGATCTAACATAGACGAGCGCAAAATGGACGACCAAGATTAATTCAGACAAATTGAATGCATCCCAAAAATTGAAGCGCAAATTCTCTCTCTTTCTCCTCCCCGATTTTCTCTCCTCAATCATGCTCAAAAAATTCCAAACCCACAAAACCGCCATTGATAACTGCTCAATTTCACTATTTAAGCACAATTTATCTTACATTTCTCCAGTTTTGGAACCAAAATTGACGAAAATTTAGGTATACTTCGATACTTTGAAGTTAATACAATTTTGTTTATTTTTATAGCAATTTCACACTTATTTTTGTGTTTTTAGGTTAAAATTTGTTGAAATTGAATTAAAAGAAGTTCAATCGAAGTGTTTCGAAGTTGAAATCGCTAAATAATTAGGTATTGTTTTGAAATTTTTTGTTCTACTTTTGAAATTGGCAGTACAAGTAGTTCAATCAAAGTTTGAAGCAATTTTTTTTAATGATTTTTGTGTTTTTAGGTTAAAATTTGTTGAAATTGAAGTAAAAGAAGTTCAATCGAAGTGTTTCGTTGTTGAAATTGGTAAATAATCAGGTGTTTTGAAGTGTTTTGAAGTGATTTCTTACTTTCAAAATGATTTTAAAGTTCAAATTGGATGAATTTGTTTTATTTACTTTAGATTTGCATGTTTCAGTAAATTTATGGATGTATTTGTTTGTTTGAGTGCGTCTGTGTAAATTTTTGATATGCATGCAATTACAATCATGTATATGTTTGTATATTCAACAGTATTTAACTTTAGATTAAATTAGGTTAGAAATTTGATAGAATTGTTGTTTAGGTATGTATTTGTATGCTCGAGTGTCTTTGTCTATGTTTCTGATATGCATGCAATTATAATTATATATTTGTTAGTGTACTTAGGTATAATTTGGTGCAAAAAAATAGATCCGATCTGCATGTATTTCAAAATATTCTGTTCCATAATGTTCTGTTTAAAGTAAATGTTTCAGTTTTAAAAGTATATATACATAGTACTTTAAAGTTAATGAAATATTTATATAGTAATTTGATACTTTTCTTCTCTATAACATTTGTTCTGAATAACCTTTGCAATGCAGTTATAATTATGTATTTGTTTGTGTACTTAGGTATAAATTCAGTGCAAAAAAAAAAAAGATCTGATGTGCATGTATCTTCATAATGTTCTGTTTAAAGTAGATGTTTCAGTGATAAAAGTAAATACATAATACTTTAAAGTTAGGGGTTGTTTAGTTCGCTGTAATGGGGAAAGGGAATGGGAATGATTCCCTTTGTAAGCGTTTGTCTTGCTACTTTTGTCATTCCCTTTCTCCTTTTTTATTTTTGGGTTTACCCATTTTTATTCCACCCCCATTCCCCACCCCTTACCTTTTCCATTCTCTTTCCTCCTCATTCCCTCCCATCTCCCAGACACAGCCCTTTCTACATCTCCCTTCTCTCTCAAACCCTAACTCGAAACTTCGAGCTAAGGTAGTCGCCGCCGCCGTTGTTTCTCCGGCCACTCTGACGACGACGCCAATTAGGTATACCTGCTGTTCCACGCATCTCCTTCCTCTCTTTTGTGTTCTTAATTTTGGTTTTTTTGTTGATTGAATTCGTATTTCTCTTGGCTTCACGAATTCGTATGTTTTTTGGGATTTTATTAACTTTCCTTCGAATTTTTTTGTTGAATCTCCCTTCGTATGTTCTCTGTGTTTTGTATTTTAATTCTAGGGTTCATGAATTCATATTTGGTACTTCACAAATTCACATTCTATTTGGGATTTTTTTGTTTGTTGATTTAGCTAAAAAATGTGAGGTAACCACTACTTGAGAAATTTCAAATTCAGTATGTATACCAAACCACTGTCAACTATGTAGGCTCCAATTAGTGCTTCAACTATGTAGGCTCCAATTAGTGCTTCAACTACATCTGCAATTGTTTTCTTGCTTAACCATTGATGATTCTTACTGCATCTAACTTGACAATTATCTACCAAAATTCTATCTTTAGAGACACAATGAATTGAACTATATATATTGGTGGATTATATGAAAATTCTATCTAATTAACAATTAGCACTGAGTTTTATTTGGTTTGGCCTTGTTCAAATATTTCAATGGTTCGTTAATTTTCCCAAACCTATAGTTGCACACTTATACTTTATCCTTGTTCTCTTTTCAATAATCTAAGATAAACTTTAATTTGTTTTACCTTCTCTAATCTTGTATCCTTAGTGCACTGACAAAGATATTCACTTGTGTTGTATATTGTTGATTAGCAAAGAAATTATTTATCGAAGTCAAGTTGGTAGTTGGTGTCAAAGCAACAAAGAGCATAGCATTTCTTAAGGTAAATATATGAACTAGAATCTCTACCTTTCTAATGACATAATTCTTGATGTTGTGTTACTTATATTATCTTTTATTTGCTTTCTTAATATTAAAGCAAGGGTTTAGATAATCTTAAATTATTTTCTTACTCTTTTATGTAACTGTTGCATTGCTTCCTGCCTTCCTATTAAGATTTCTTATAATGTTGGTAACAAGATGCATTTATATATATATATATATATATATATATATATATATATATATATATATATATATATATATATATATGTTTAGGTTGCGAATTTTATGTCTTTTGTATAAATATGTAAACTTTTCAATGATATGGTGTTGTTGATGTTCTTTTGTACAGAAAATGGCTCATATTGGTACTTCTTTGAAAAGGAAGAGAAATTGGGACCACCTTCGTTTCATAATCACTATGATTAATTGCGTTGTGTTACTACATTTGTTGGTGTACTTGTGAAGAAAAAAAATATACAATTCTCAACATCTTAAGTTAGATAAACACACAAGAAGAAAAATGAGATTACACAAGTTGAATAGAATGATTAGAGAAAGTGACACTTTGTGTAGGAACTATCTTCGTATAAATCGATACACATTCGGTGTACTTTTAGAGATGGTTAGAAATATTGGTGGATTATATGAAACAAGAAACACATGTTTGGAAGAGATTGTTGCGGGATTCTTATACACATTAGCTCACCATAAGAAAAATAGAATGATGGGTGCACATTTTTATAGAAGTGGTGAAACTATTAGTAGGCAATTTTATGCTTGTTTGTTAGAAATCTTAAAGTTACATGTTTTTCTTCTTAAGAAACCAACTCCAATACAAGAGGATTGCGACGATGAAAGGTGGAAACATTTCAAGGTAAAATAAAATAAAACCAATACTTTAATTTGAAAAACATAACAAAAGTTAGAAATTATTAGTTAATTTAAAGTGATATTGTTTGTTTTGTAGAATCACTTAGGTTCTCTTGATGGTACAATGATTCTAGTTAATGTTCCTTGTGAAGATCGACCCAAATATCGTACTAGAAAAGGAACCCTTGCTATGAATGTGTTAGGAGTATGCTCACCTGAAATGAAATTTACATATGTCTTACCTGGTTGGGAGGGATCGGCACATGATGGTCGTATTCTTCGAGATGCTATTTCTAGGCCTAATGGTTTGAAAGTTCCAAAAGGTAATTTGATTAATGTAGTGTACTTTATGTAAGATTGACTTAGAAAGAGAGTGTAATTTAATTGTTTTTTGTTTTATTTGTCAAGGTTGTTATTATTTATGTGATGGGGGATATACTAATGGAGAGGGATTTCTTGCATCATATAGAGGTCACCTTTATCATCTTAAAGAGTGGAATAGGGGGGCCAGACAACCATTAACCGCCGAAGAATATTTCAACTTAAGGCATGCAAAAACTAGAAATGTGATTGAGAGATGTTTTGGGTTACTCAAGGGAAGATGGGGAATTCTTAGAATTCCTTCTTGGTTTAGTTTACAAACACATGGTCGCATTGTGCTTGCATGTGCCTTATTACATAACTTGGTAAAAAGATACATGCTTTCAGAGTTTGATGATGATGACTTGTATGAGGAAAGTAGTGACAGTGATGGTGATGACAGTGATGATGATGATGATATTGAGTATATAACCTCCAGTGATGTAACTAATCCCTAGACTAATTTAATACAATGGCCCAAACTATGTTCAATGATTGGAGGGCTAGAAACCGCAGACTTACTTTGTGATACTTTTTATTTATGTTAAAGTTTTTTTGTTATATTTGAACTTAAGACTCATATGTTTATTTCATTGTACTGATTTTTTTAATATTAAGTTATGGATGTTGTATTTGTACTCGATATTACTTTCTTTTAGATACTTTGTATTGAATATTTTATTGGTTAATTTCATTTTTATATATGAAATGTTATCTTTGCATGTTATTATGGATCAAATGTTATAGAAGGATGGATGAAAGTAGTGCTAGTGGAGGTGGAAGGGGGAGAAACAAGTGGTTTTGGAATGCTGAAGAAGATAGGGTTCTTGTATCAGCATTATCAGACTTAGCTGTTGACCCTCACTAGAGGTGTGATAATGGGTTTAGAAGCGGTTACATGGTTTGATTGGAGGAGGTTATCGGTCACGCTCTACCTGGATGTGGTTTGAAGGCTTCACCTCACATAGATTCTCGACTGAAGACACTTGTAGCCAAGTTTAGGGCTATTTCTCAAATTTTAAACACGAGCGGATTTGTTTGGGATGATGAAAGAAAAATGGTTTCTGTTGAAAGAGCTATTTATGACGAGTACTGTAAGGTATGACAACTTATTTAAAGTCATTTTAATAATGTTTGAGATACTTGATGATGTTATATTTGATTATTATGAGCTGTTTTGTCTTTGGCAGAGTCATCCAAGTTGCAAAAATTTATATGGAGTTTCCTTTCCGCACTTTCAAGAACTGCAGAATATATATGGAAAAGACTATGCCACTGGTAAACCATCTGAAGGTTATGTTGAAGCAATTAACCATTTGGAAAAAGTTGCCCCTTCGCAGGTTTTACTTGATTCAAGTGATGATGAGGGAGTTGCTGATTCTGACACTGTCAATTCTCCTCCCTAAAAAAAAATCAAGATTGAAAAAACTGCAAAAAGGAGAAAAAGTGATGGTGCTGGTAGTTCAAACGAGTTGGCCAGCTTACAAACATTCATGAAAGATATGAATGTTCATCTTTCCACTATGGCTAATGTAATGGCAAGCACTAATGAACGTGAAAAAGATACACATGAAAGAGAGAAAAAATTAGTGCAGCAGAGTGAACAAGTGCTAGAGGAACTACTCTCTCTCAATTTAGAGGGTGTCACTCCTAAACAAGTGTTTGAAGTTGCCGAAGATCTAGCTTCGAAACCACACAAGCTTATGATATTTTCAAAGTGCCCAGACGCTTTGAAAAGTAGTTATGTTAAGAGTCTTATTAGGGAAAACAATGATGCTTAAAACTTTTATCGTTATTAACTTGTTTGTGTTGAATTAGGTGTTATGAACTTTGGTATGTTTAAAACTTTTGTTGTTGTTTCGGAACAGTATTTTGGTATGATTAAAATTGTCATGGTCTGTGAACAATATTTTGGTATTTTTTTCACAAAATATGATATAAAACAGGTCTATTTTGGAATATTACAAGAAAATATGGAAAGTATTTTTTTTATGTTACAGGTAACTATGGAAAATATAAAAATAGCATATCACTTTTTTTCATTTTACAGGTCTATTATTCCATATTATAGGACCATATTTTTTTTTCTTATTTTTGTGCTTATTATATAAAAATAGGTTATTATATGAAAAAATAGAGAGAAATTTTAAAATTCCTGGTTTGATTCCCTAGTTTGAACCAAACAGCGGCAAAGGAAATCAATGAACAGTTTATTTCGTTTCCTGGGCACAACCAAACAATTTGCCCAGAGGGAAAGTCCTTTCCTTTCTCCTGCATTCCCTTTCTGCATTCCATTCTGATTACCCTGTGCGAACCAAACGACCCCTGAATGAAATATTTATATAATAAGTTCATATGACTAATTTTTCATATTGTTTTGAATTACAATCAGATTAAAATGAAGAAAACTACAAAGAAAGTTGTTGCGGTTGCAAAAAAATCTCCTGTAGGAGCTACAAAGAAGGCTCTTGCAACAACTACAAAGAAACCTCCTGTAGCAGCTAAAAAGAAAGCTCCTGCAGCAAATCCAAAGAAACCTCCTGTAGCAACTACAAAGAAGGCTCAGGCAGTTACTTAAAAAAAAACTCTTGTAGCAACTACAAAGGAACCTTAAATAAAAAACTTGTTGCAGGTATATTATATTGAATCTTCAGTTCAAATTCTTTTCTAAAATTATTTTCTAAAATGTGTAAGGTAAATATAGTAAGTATAGCTATGTAAATATATATATACATTGTTATAAAATTAATCTAATGTTTTCACTTCAACTGTAAAAGGTGATAAGGAAGAAAAGATGTAAAAAAAACAAATATTGATAATGAGGATGCTAAATCAACTTGAACCTTCAGAAGGTTAAACAAAATTAATTACTGTCATATGTAATCAATTGTGTTAAAAGTAATTGATTTACTTTAACTGGTTTTTGTTTACTTTAACTGCTTTCTTTTTAACTTTTAATTTAATTGTTTTACTTTTCAAAATGAATTACTGAATTCTATATAGGTGTTTGTTTAAGCTTAAAAAGGTTAACAAAATTTAAATATTTAATTATAGGGATGTTTATTGTGATGATTTAGTTTTAGATAAATATTTGACATAATATATCTTGCTCTATGTTTGATTCTGTTATGTTTACTATGTTCTATTTAACATATATTTAGAAAGTAAACGGTTTTTCTTTAAAAGTAAATAAAATTCTACATAATGTAAATAAAAAATCTTATATAATATCTTGTTTATCAAAATTGAGAAACAAAAAAAAGAAAAGCAAAACCTGAAAAAGATGAAGATGATTATGCACCAGAAGATGATGAAAAAGCTGAATCAGAAGATGATGAGAAAACTGAATCAGAAGATGATGAAAAAACTGAAACAGAAGATGAAGAAAATTCTGAACCGGAAGAAGAAGAAAATTCTGAATCGGAAGAAGAGGAAACAAAAAAGAAAAAAACCTCGTCCGAAGAAGACAATAAAGAAGGAGGAAACAAAAAAAGATGTGAAAGAACGGAAAAAAAAAGAAAATAAAGAAGGAAGAAACACAAAAAGATTTGAAGGAAGGGAAAAAAAAAAGAAAAAGCAGAAAACAGATAAGGAAGTGGAGGAAGTGGAGGAAGTGGAGGAAGTTGTGGTTGTTGAAGATGATGAAAGTGATGTAGATGATGGTGGTCTTATCATAAAAAAAACACACTGCAGACCCAATGCTGTTTTCGATTTGATAAAATATTTTAGCGATGAGCAGAAGAAGGATGTGCAAAGCATAGGCTTTGGAGGTCTGCTTGAGTAAAAACTGACTCAAGTTCAGACAAAAATACTTTCTTGGCTATGCCATCGCTTCAATGAAAACAACGCCATATTCAAAATTGATCGACTTGTTGAAGGAGTTCTCTTTAACAAGTTTTGATATTCATGATATCTTCTTGCTTCCCCATGTCTTGCAAAACCAAATAACATATTAGTAAAGGAAGCAAACTCTAGATGATCTGAGGATTAAAAATGAGTGGAAGAACAAGCTGGAAATTCCTAAAGGAGATGATGTAAATGTGAACAGTTTGGGGAACAAAATTGAGAGCCTAAAAAACAGAGGTTATGATTTCAAAAGGTTTTTTGTTATGTATGTATGCATCACCTTTCTTGCACCTGTTGCAAATAGGGTTATTGATTACAAAACACTGAAGTATGCTGATGATGTGAATGAAATAAAGAATCTGGATTGGTGTACTTTTGTTCTCAATAACCTTTGCAAAGCAGTTGAAAGGTTGAAGAAAAACAATGAAAAAGAATCAAGGTCAGGAATCAGTGGGTGTGTGGTTGTGCTTCAAATTTCCTACTTTCACCGCTGGCATTGTGTTTAGAGGCATCTAGGAACTACTAGTACAACCACTGATACAACATTGGACAGATGAAGAAATGAGAAGCAGAATAGCAAAGGAAGCAAAAGCAAAATTTGGTTAAGGAGAACTTGTGAAGGATACTTATCCAATCTGTTTAAGGGATCCACCACAAACAGAAGTTTTGGGTGACGTTATTGAGACTACTTACCAGCATTTCGCAGACAAAGAGAGAAGATGTCTTACTTTAACGATACCATCGCATCCGAAGATAAATACTGAGATATATGCAGCTGCTCGTGATGTAAGTATTATTTGAGTTCTATTAAATTTTATTTTTTCTGCTAATAAATTATGTTTTTGGAGCTATGTCTTTATATTTGTACCTTAATTAAACATATATACTTTAAACACTAGCTTTAAAGTTGAGAGTAAGAGTAGAGTGTAGTATATAAAATGATAGTTATAAAGTCAATAAAGGCAGCCTTAAAAGTTAATAATTTACCTTTAAAAGTAAATAATAATATTTTAATAGTTGTAATAACTTTGATATTTTCATAATTTGTAGGAAATTGAAGAGGATCTGTTACTGTTGCAAAGAGATTCAACTCTGTTTTCAATATTAAATGCTGAAAGGGTGAACTCTATAACAGAGAGGCTTAAAAAAGCTAAAACAGGTTCGTCAACATCAAAGGATCTCTAGTAGTTTCTCAAACTCAGAAACTTTTAAAAGACCCTAGGATTCAAAGATGTCTAGATGAAGTTGTTAGGATCTATGATGATTTGAAGGATGTTTCAAATGTTTTATATTTTACTTGGGAAGAGCAAAACAGAAAGGAAAACCCTGCAAAGAATGTTGAAGATCATGTTGATGATGAAAAGAATGTTGACATCATGCATACTAATGATCATGTTGATGAACATATTGATGATCGTGTTGTTGATCCAGAACCTATTCATATTGGTGATGATAATCCTAAACCTGCCAAAAATGAAGCACAAATCAATGAAGGGCAGACAGTTGGCGTAGAGGCAGAAAAGGGAAAGGATGCTACTGAGCTTGTAACCTCTGTCCTTAGTAGCATTCAGGAGGACTTAGCTGCCGAAAGGGCTGATACTTTTGTGCAGCAACCAACTGTGCATAAGGAAGCAATCACAGTGCTTACAACACATTCAGGAGGAGTTTGTTGGGTTTTGCGGTGTCCAACACTGTGCGAAAACAAAACCCGATAACCAGATCGCATGCATAATAATTACAACATAAATAAAAGCATGCAAATAAACATAAACATAAGAGAAGAGAGAGAAATAATGCTCACCCTAGTAGCGTGCTTCGCTCAACCGTTGAGCTCGGACTAGAAAGATTCAAGTTCTGCAAGAACGAGAACCACTGACGGCTCACATTCTCGCTACTAAACCATAACCGGGCCCTACCCCGATGCTTAGTCAGGGCTAGACCAAAAACAACTTAGAGTTTGCGAACAAAGATTTTCTCGCTTTTGGAGATCCCTTAATGTTCACCAACTCAAGTGAAATTCCC